GTATTATTATCTCTAAAATAAATTTAAATGAGATAATTTTGATGAAATAAAAGAAATCATAAAGAAAATAAATAGATTAGAATATCTAATCAATGGAATGGTACAGAATAAAATACATCATGAGATTAAATGAACAAGATGCAGATGAAATTAAAATTAAATCACAAGAAAGAATAAAGTATCTAAAATATATGATGATAATGATTAAAGAAAGAATTAAATTTAATAAGAATGAAAATGTCAGAATCAATACAAATAAAATCATGTTTGATTCTAATAACAAAATTAAAATAAAGAAGAAACACAAAATGAAATATATCCAAATAACGATATTATTTTAGAATATTTGAAATCATTATATGAAACACATGTGATATTAAATAAAGAACATTTGAAAATAAATCAAATCACATTGTGAAATGAAAGATATAGAAATTATGATAGTGTCATCATCACAATGGATGATTTAATTTAAGCCTGATGAAAATAAGTAATTTGAAAGCACCAGGCATTGACACTATATATGGGTATTATTGGAAGAGAATGTCATTATCAAGAGATTCCATTCTTAATATCTTCAATGAATTGTTAAACTTCAATGAAAACATCACTCTAGACATGGTAAGTGGAAGAACTATATTAATCCACAAAGGAGGTGATATGAACGATGTCACTAATTATCGTCATATCAGTTGTACAAATGTAATTATGAAAGTATTTACCTCCATATTGAAAGAGAAGATTCATAATAGAATTAACATGAATAATGAATCATTAAAAATTAATAAAAATCAGTTATGATGTAAACTGCAATCTCTTGATGATAAAGAAGGATTAATTAACAGTTATATGTTAAAGCAGCAAAAAGAAGAGAAATACCCAAAATATGTAGAGTCATATTATGACATTAAGAAAGCATATGACTCAGTAAATCATGAATGGGTAATAGAATCACTTAAATATTTTAATGTAGAGGGTGTCATCATAGACATTGTAGAAAGTATGATGAACAGATGGAAGATATTCATATGATATAAATATAATGAATATCTAGGATGTATTAAATTGATGAATTTTACAATGTGATTCATTATCAATTCTATCTTCATCATCCAAATGAATGTAATTTCTCAAATCATAGAAGAGAAGTTCCCAAAAGCAAACAATAGATTATATATTGATGAATTGAGAATAATGACACAAAGTAATGAAGAAATGGGAATAATCCATAATGAAATTAAAGAAATAATAAGTGGAATAGGGATGGAAATGAATGAAAATAAATCAGGAATGGTATTAAAGAACATCAATAAAATAACAGATTGAATGCAAAACATCCCATTAATTGAAGGAGAGGAATTGTATAAATATTTAGGAATATGGCAGTCCGATGAAATTAATGATACCTTCAATTGTAAAATCATCAAAGAAAAGATGATGAAGAAAATGGAAGAGATAAATACTGATGAATGTAGTAATAGAAGATATATTACAAGAATTAATACTGAAGTAATACCCATCTTCAGATATTCAGCATCAGTAGTAAATTGGAATGTAACTGACCTAGATAGAATGGATTTGGAGATAAGAAAATATTTAAGAAAGGCAAAATACATTAGTTGTAACTCCAAAGACCGTCTATATGTTAATATAAATGAAATAGGTGAAGGATTAATAAGCCTAAGGGACGAATATGTTAATGAAATAAATAGAATAGTAATGTACTATTGTACAAGAGTGAAATAGGAAATAACATAATAGATAGATGGTATTCAAAGAAATGAATATGGAATAGAATTAAAAAAGCACAAGTCATAAAATCACAGAGATTCAAATAGAAGAAATAATAAATGAAGTGAAAATAAAAAAGAAAAAGAAGTAGTATTAAAAATAAAGAAATTAATAACCAACCAATACATCAAAAAATTGAAATCAAACAAGTTGACATTTTAGAAGATGGTTCGAGTCAAAATTTGTAGATAAAATACTACAATAAATGCATGGAAGTCCATCAATATAAAGAAAAATGCATTTCTCCAATTAACTAAAATACAAGATGGAGTAATATTTTGTGGGTACAGGAAAGATAAAATATTAAAAAATGAAAGGTTGAAGTACTGCACACTTTGTAAAGACAAGATAGCCACAGTAGAACACATTCTACTATCTTGCATTGGTCATAAGAAATCACAAATTGAGAAACATGACCATATTGGCATAATCATATGAGTTAATAAGAAAATACACAGGAAATAAACAATACAAGAAATCCCCATATGAAACAGTGTTCCAATACAATGACATCATTATGATATTGAACAAACAAATAATGCCAAAAAAGTGAATGACAATATCATAAAAGACCAGATATATATGTACTAGATAAAAAGAATAAAACTGGTCCAATATTTGATATGACTATTGTGGCAGATCATAATATTAATGGAGCCTATTGGAAGAAAAGAAATATGTATAAAGAATTGAAAAATAGGCTAATGAAAATAGAGAAATTAAAGGATGTCAAAGTAATTCCAGTAGTAATTTGGATTAATGGGCTAGTAAATGCGGAAAGCATTAAAATAATTAAAGAATTAAAAATCGAAATTGACATCATTAAAGAAATCAAAAACCTTGTAATTAAAAACATGATGGACGTCATGGAACATTGTGGAGATCACAACCAAACATATGTAGTTGAACTACAAGACGAAGACTCAGGGATGGGATTAGTCTCCGCTGAGGCAGGAACAATAGACACAAGTTCTATTAATACTTAATTAACTACTTTATTATTATTATTATTTATTATTAGAATATATTTTCTATTATTTTTAACTCTTTTTTTTCTTGATACAAAATGATAAATCTTATCTAAAGACTATTTCATTTATATTTTGTATCTTTTGTAATATTATGATTAATACATCATCATTAAATAAATATTATGATACATCCCTTTTTTTATTTATTATTTAATTTCTCTTCTAATATTTTAACAATTCTTCTTATATTTTCAATCAATATTTAATGTTCACTTGTGTCTTATTTAAATATAAATTTAATGTCATTCCACAATTCATTTATTTAGTTATTTTTTGGTTTATTTTTCAATTTGTTGAGTTATTTAGCAGTAAGAAATAAGAGAAGAGTGTTGATAATGATGTAAATTGTTAAACGAGAAATGAATAATTCAAGAAATCATTAAATGATTGAGAGAGGAGTGTTGAATGAAAAGTAAAGAAGAAAGAATGTGTGGAAACAAGAAAACATAAGAAAGAATAAGAGAAAAGAAGAAAAGATAAAAATTTAAGGGTTTTGAGAAAATTACAAAGAATTTATAAAATGAAAGAAAAAAAAAAAAAGAAAATGAAAGAGTTTTTAAAAGAATAATAAAATAAAGAAATGAGAGAAAGAATGAAAAATGAAGAGAAAAAAGGAAATGAACTAAAAAAATAAGAGATAAAAAATCTATGAGTAGAGTGTGTTATTTCTATGATCAAAATGTAGGAGAATTTGATTATGGATTTGGACATCCAATGAAACCATTAAGAAATAAATTAGTACATCATTTAATTATGGAATATGGAATATATAAACGATTAAATATTTATGTTTGGATTTTTAATAAAAGAAATAAAAGAAATAAAAAATAATAAAATAGAAACCATGGAGAGCAACAAATGAACAAATGGAAATGTTTCATTCTAAAGAATATATTGATTTTTTACAAAGAGTTACACCAGAAATGGCATTACAACCTCATTTTAAAAAATCATTAGAAGAATTTAATTTTACAGATGATTGTCCAGTTTTTGAAGGATTATATCCATTTGTTCAAACAGTTGTAGGAAGTTCATTAGGATGTGCTATGAAAAAATTATGAAGAGCAGCAGATATTTGTGTAAATTGGTCACG